TGAATACCTGTCTATTCAGAAATAGGTTTACTAACACATATGAACACAAAGGTGGAATACCTATGTGCTTTAGTTTTTCGAATAATAGATTTAAATTGACGTTATCATAAGCTCCTGAAATATCAAGAAATATGGCAGATAGATAATTATTATTTGAGAAGGATAACTGAATATCAGTCGTTAATTGAGACACACAATCCATAGTCCCTTTATTTCTACGAAAGCCGTATTGACTAACTGGGAAAATATTTTTGTTTTCACACCACCATTCTAATCTGCTTTTCATAATTCGTTCAAATGTTTTAAGCAAACAAGACATAAGAGAGATAGGTCTTAGGGCAGTACGCTGATTTACTTTGGGTATAGGAATAACCAAGCATTGTTTAAGAGAATCACAGTTGTCTCCTTTAAGTAAAATATTGTTGTATATTTTGCACAGATAATGTATGGCAATTACTGGCAGGTTTAAAAGCATGCTGTAGTTAATGCCGTCAATACCAGGAGCTGTATTTTTAGAACTCTTAATATTTGCTTTAAGTTCGTCAGCTGAAATGGGGGTTAGTAAAAAGTGATCATTAGTGGAGACACTCGGCATAAATACTGGTAGATGGACATAATCTGGAGAGATTTTTCTAAAAAGACTTTCTACTATGTCTTCATTATTAGCGGTGTACTTTTTCTTACCTTGAATTTTGTTTACCCTTCTCCAAAGCTCTGAGGGTGAAGTTTGCCTACTAAGTGAGGAACAAAATCGAGCCCAACTAGATTTGGCTTTTGAGCGGAAAGTTCGTTTACACATAGCTTCATTCCTCTTATATTCAATAAAGTTTGAAAGGGTAAGATTGGATTTATATATTTTAAAAGAATTTTTCCTTGCATTCGAAACTGTGAGACATTCATCATCCCACCATGGTGGAGTTTTAAAAGATTTTACTGAGGGTTTGATAATTTTAAAAGATTTGTTGGCTGCAGTAGTAATAGAATCTAATAAAAAGAATATCATTTCATTGGTTTCGTTTGTATTTGATTCGTATCTGAAGGTGCTTTCTACAGAATCTCTAAATTTTTCCCAATTTGCATTGGACATGGACCATTTATTTGTAGATGTGAAAATTGTGTTTTCAAATTTTATATCCTGCACGGAAAGTCTAATGGGAAAATGATCGGATCCATAGGTATCTGAAAGAACGGTCCAGTCAAAGGCTGAACATAAACTAGAGCTTATAATAGTAAGATCTACAACCGATTTGATATGTCCTGGAGGAGTAGCTCTAGTAGCCGACCCGTCATTTACAACAACTAGATTAGGAAATGCATCTAATGCTTCTACTAGTATATTACCATCGACGGAACATAAATTGGATCCCCATAATCCATGGTGAGCATTAAAATCTCCGGTAATGATACAATCATTGTTAATTTGAGAAAAAAGACTAACGTAATCTTGCATTGTTACTCTAACTTTTGCTGGACGATACACACTCAGAATAGAATAAATTTTTTGGTCAATATTAATATTTACACCACAAACTTCGAGATTAGGATTGAAATTGTTAACGAATGAAATGGGCTCATAAATAATGTTATTTGCTAAAATTACGGCAACTCCTCCATATCCCTTACTTCTACTTTTATTAACTATATTAAAATTATTGAAGCAAACAGTATCAGATGGTTTGGACCAAGTTTCTGATAAAAGAGCTATGTCAAAACGTTCTTCAAAAAGTAATTGATTTAAAGAATATTTGTTTGCATTTAGCGAACGAATATTCCATTGAATAATTTTAATGCTTTTGGAAGCCATTAAAGTTATGTAAAAATATTACCTATAATATCTTTAATTTTATTTTCTAATTCAATTTCGTACATTTTAAGATTAGATTCTACATTTGAGGAAGAATTACAATAATCCTGGATACTTTGTTGGATCAAATTTTTAAGTGAAGCACTCAGCTGACTGATAAACTTATTGAATTCATTAGGAGGATCAGGGTTTCCAAACTGAAATATAGATCCCGAACAGAAGCTGGTCTGGTATTCTCTACGAATAGGAGGAAAATTAGGAGATGTATCACAATTTTTTCTTTTTTTGGGGGGACTAACTGTAGGGGAGGATATATGCTTGTGAGTATTATTATTTTTGTAAGCAGTGTTAGAATTCGAAGGTTTAGCAGAAGAGCTTTTTAATGGAGGGAAATCGGTGTCACAGGTAGTTAAGGGTGCAAATTTGTTTTTTTGAACTAAACTGGAATAACTTGGATTTTCAATAGCTTTTTCAGCTTCTTTAAACGAAATATTCAAGTTAGCCATAGCTTCTTTAGTTTTCTTTTGTTTCAAATATTCGGGGCATTCTTTAAAAATTGACTCGTGGTTATTATTTTTACAAAAAACGCAAAATGCAATACATTGATCAGGGCAACCAATTTTTCCTTCATTGCCGCATTTTTTACATCTTTTTTGTGACTTACATTGGGTGGTTGAATGACCATATCGAAGACAATTAAAACATTGCATAACCGGACTAACATATATTTCAACTGGACATCTAACTTTATTAATGTAAATATATTGGGGAATTAATTTACCCTCAAAGCTAATTATGACCATTTGTCTAGGAACTCTTTCAGATATACCATTATTTTGAACTAATCTAGTCATTCTATAAACTTTTTTAATAGGAATATTAGACTTAATAGTGTTGAGCAATGCATTCTCACTTAAAGTAGTATCCACTCCACGAACGAGACCTTTTTTTTCTGTTAAATAATTTGGAATATATGCTATTAAATTATTTTTTTCAAAAAAATCTTCTGTAGCTAACTTATTAGCTACAGCACCTGAATCTACTTGGATTTTGATACGGTTTTTACCTACACTAACAATTTCTATAATATTTTTATCATAATTGGATAATGAAAGTAGTTTCTCTCCAAGTTTCATTGGATGCAAACGACCTAAATTTAAATTAATATGTTGAACAAATATAAAAAAAGGACCATTATCACTAGAACTAAATCGATTAGCTGAGTTAAATACCTGATTTTTCTGAATATTTGTTTTAGGCGAAGTTGAACTCAAGTTTTTGCTATCAATATTGTTTTTAATATCATTCCTATCTCTAAATTCAATGTCCTCTACACCAGGATCTGGTGGATCCTTCCCAGAGATACCATTTTTGCCCGCGGACATGACGGGGCACGACGTTTAACAAAAAAATTAATAAAAAATTTCTACTTACAGTACAGTTGACAGAATACCAGAACTTAAAATATAAAGCAAAAAAAACAAAAACGCTAAACACCCTGTGTTATATCTTGAAATACACTTCTGCACTTCACAAGAGATCGAAATCTAATAAAAAAAAGACTTTAGAACTACTTAAATATTTAAATTTTCCCGAGGAACTCTTAAACGCGTCCAAACACTTTGACAGTTATTTGACAGATGAATCTTATATTAAAAATAGAGAATTTAATAGATCTCAAATCTGTAAACACGCATAGGATAATGAACATAGGGTTCAATGGAATAATTCAAATGTAGTCCTAAAAAAAAACGGATGGTAAAAAAAGAAAAATCAAAGAAGCGGCTCTAATTATGCTAAATGAGGCCAATTGTGTCGCAAATTCCTCGGTAGAATGTAGTAGGATCTGGTTACCAATATTGAAAGAGGAAGTTATTAATAAGAAAATACCAGTATTAGTAAGTCAGTAACATATAGAGGATACATCATTTATGTTTTTTAAATAACGTAACAGATAAAATCAGAATTTTGATGTTTGTTGAAGGTAAACTAAATTCACGAACAAATACTTACAATGTCGGGATAGTATTATGAGGTTTTTTTCCTGGTTTTTCCCTCATAATTTACTATGGAATCACTAACAGGAGAATTTTACTGTCATCAAATCATGTGGTTGTCTTTTTTTATCTAAAGACGAATTACATGCTATGATTTTTTTCTGACGGATATTCTCAAGTTAGAGTTGATTTCATGTAATCGAATGAACTATCTTATAAGTAAAGTCGTCCCAGGAGCGCAACTCAACAATATTGGCAATATCATTTTAAAGTCGTCTACTTTAAAATGCATAATGTATGTCTGAATTGTCAATATAAATGAGTCAGATAAAATTAAATTATTAGAAGAATTTTTCACTATGTAACAAAAAACAAAATTTGTTTAATTTACTGTTTGTATTTTGAGAACGATTTCCGAAGTGGAAATTGAAACGTCAATAAACGTATTTTTATCTTTAATTGTGGCTTATTCCCAGTTTAATAGTAATTAAGAATTAAATACATCATGTACCTTCATAACAATCCAAATAAAATTATTTAAAAAATGACTTAATACGAAAATAAACAAAAACAATAAATAAATTTACTTGAAGAATTAAAACGTAGCAGAATATGAATATCTTTTTAGATTATCTTTAATCTAAACACAGGTTTGTAAAATTATATAAACAAATTAATAATTTAGTTTCTTAGTGTTAAGTTATTTCCAAATATTATTTTTAAAATTCTTTAATTCTTCGACATAAAATTGTACACAGAAATCCTTAAATTATTTTTGAATCACGTTCCCACAAGAAAAAAGGCAATTATTTCAAACCCACATCATTGCGATCCACGTGACCACTATCAAATATAACCTAAGAAAATTACAAAAACCAACAATAGGACCTGTGGTGCCCTTATCTCCACATACTATTCACATGGTTTTCATTCAAACAAAAAGGACCCGACGCCCTGTTTCGCGCGTAAGCCACATCCCTCGGCGCTAGAGCCAATAGCGTGAAGTTTGACGCTGAAAACGAGGATTACAATTGGACAGAATTCCTGGTCCTAATTGAGCTTGTTAAATATAAATTGACTAAAATAATAATGTCAGAAGTCAGTTTATCTGCTTAACTGAAGCTCGTAGCAATTGTTTGATTAAAAAATTATCGGTAAATTGAAATAGATTGTTCTGATTATTTCGATTAATTAAAAGTATGGAAGGTGCGCCGTTTGACGATCAAAGTTTTAATGACTTCAACAACCAACCTTTGCCATCTTTGGCATCGACTCTTCTAAACAAGAATCAGGAAAACCTTAATGTGCATTCTATACAGGTGATGCTCGGGATTCAGCAACAGCACGACATGTTTGGAAACATGGGATCACCGATGGAATACAAAGGCTCTCCTCAAAAACTGGACGCGTCTCCCATACACCATCAAGATTTGGGGATGTACTCACCCGGAATGGAAAATATTAACAACAATTCCAATGGTGTTAAGAGAAAAAATGAAGATGTAGTGCTACTTCAGTCGCATAATTTAAGTTCTACTGAAATTGGCAGTACGCAAAATACAACTACGAAAAAGAATGACAAGAAGAAAAATGATAATGGAGTTAAAAAGAAAAAAACTAGGTAAGTCAGTTAGTTCTACTTCATATCTATTGAGAAATTAAAAACATTTAATTATCTCCTTTAAGTTTATTTAAATTTATGTTTTATTTGAATTTGGAGAATATATTTTTCAATTAATTTTTATCGTTAATTTTTTTCTGATAATTTATTTCTGTTGTTCATTTCTGTGTGAAAATGCAAGGTTCAAGTTTTGCTTTACTATAACCAGTAATTATTTAAGTCTATTATCTTACATAAGTAATCATTTCGCCATTGTTTTGGTCGCATTTTTCTCTGTTGCATAACGTATTTTTTATTTTGTTCATTTGTTTTTATAACCCTTTTATATTACCTTTATAATCTATTTTATTTTACATTATATAATATATGGTACATATTTGTTAGTTTCTGAATTTCAGAATTTGAAACTACCGAATTCGGTAGTTTCAAATTGAATCAGAGGTTTAAAGGTAATATATTTTTCGTTTAATTTTTTATTCATATCTTTAGTTTTTCACGCGAAGTATATCAATTAGGATTCTACTACAAATATCCTTTTTCTCGGTTGCATAACACATTATATTTTATTTTGTCCATTTGTTCGATTTGTGTTTTTATCTAATTTTATCTGTCCACAATTCATTATTTGATAATCTTTTTTACACAACTAGTAATTTTCTACACAAAACTTCCTTCAAAACGTTTTTTTTACTTCAAAACACTGTTTTCATAAAAATGTCGAATTTTTGATGGTCAGCTATTTTACCAGGTTTTTCTCCACTTTTTCATTTGATTATTCCAAATATGTATAGGTATCTACGAATTATATAAACTCCGTAATATACACAATTTATTCTAGTTGGTGGTTGATATTAGTTACATATTTCTAAATTATTCTAGTCAACTGAAGTCTTCTATTGATTTTTTTGTTTTTAAATTTGTTTAAATTATTTTAAATATCTTGTACTATCGCATTATATTTTTAAGTCACCTTGTATGATAGAAAAGTAGTTATATAATACGCCAATTTTTTAACTAAATCGTTGACATATGTACATTTTTGTAGTTTTTATCTTTTAAGACGTAATTTAATACTGATAATTAATTAGTTATTAACTACAATACGTTAAAATGTCTTTTTGTTTTGTTTATATTGCAAAATATTTAGTTCTTTCATTAAAATCACATCTTATTGAATACTTCTTATTTAGAATTGTTTAACAATAGATTTAGCTATTTAGCTATTATGTATATATTTGTATAGGGCAATATCCGAATTCTTTTATCTTAGCTATTTTTTGCCTTTTGCTTCTTTCGCAATACTATAGAAGATTATATATATTCACGGATTCTACAGTATTCACTGCCTTCCCTCGCTCAACCGTTTCTATCTCTCTCTGTTGTCCCATTCTCCATCGTCTCTAGGCATCTCTTACTCATGGCGTCGTCGTCTACTTCGTTCCTCCAGGATCTTCGAGGTGGTCCTCTTTTCCTCCTTCCTATGGGGCTCCTTTCGGTTATTCCCTTTATCCATCTGCTGTCGCTAGTTCTTCTTACATGTCCATACCACTTTGGTCTTTTTTGTTCTATATATGTTAGTATGTCTGTTTCTATTGATGTTCTTTGCCTTATTTCGTCATTACTTCTCCTATCCATTCTTGTTACTCTGCAGCATCTTCGCAGCCACTCCATATCTTTTGCTACTATCTTACTGCTGTTTTTCTTGTTTATTATCCAATTTTCAGCCCCATATGCCATAATACTTCGCAGTAATGTTTCATAAATCTGTGTTTTTGTCTTCATATTTAGATGTCTATCCAATCATACTGAGTTAAGTTGTCGGATTGCTGTTCTTGTTTGTCCTAATCTTTGCCTAATTTTTTGTTGCCTCTGTTGTTGCCTTTTTCGTGATTATAAACCCCAAGTATTTGAATTTGTCCTTTCCTTTGATTGTTACGTTGTCATCAATCTGTAGATCTTCTATGTCTTCTTCACTTGTAGATAGGTACTCCGTTTTCGCGAGGTTAATTCCTAGGCCAGCCTTGGTATATTCTTCTTGTAATTTCTTCATCATGTAGCTGAGGTCGTCTTAGTCTTGTGCAATCACTACTTGATCGTCTGCAAAATTTAACGTATATGGGTATTCGTTCCGTACCGGTACTCAAATGCCTTTGCATTTTCTTTTCCATGTAGTCAAGGCTATTCTAAGTATATTTTAAATAGGGTTGGAGATGTGGAACAACCCTGCAGGAGCCCTATTGTTGTGGTGAAGCTCCTATAATTCTTGTTCCCAATTTAATGGACACTTTATTTTCTTTATACAGAGCTTTTCTAACTTCTATGAGTTCCGTCTGTATTTCTAATTTGTACATTTCCTCCCATAGTTTTGACTTTGGTACACAGTCATACGCCTTTCTCAGGTCCACAAATGCCAAATGTATATCTCTATGTTTTGCTTTTTTCTTTTCCAAGAGTTGTTTCAGTGTGTATATGTGGTCTATGCAGGATCTTCCTGCCGTGAAGCCTGCCTGATCCTCCCCGATTTTGCCTTTTATCGCTTGCTCTATCTTTTCTCGCAGTATCTTTTCATATAATCTTCCTATTAATGATATTACGCTTATTTCTCTGTCGTTTTCACATCGTTTTCTATCTCCTTTCTTAAATATAGATGTCATACATGCCTCCGTCCATTCCTTTGGAAGCTGTTCTCCATTTATGGCTTTCTGAAATATCCATTGTATCATCCGGTGTAATTTTTTTGATCCGTATTTTATAAGCTCAGATGAGATGCCTTCAGGTCCCGGTACTTTCTTATTTTTGATTGCTTTTATGACCATTCTCATTTCCCTATCTGTTATTTCGATTTCTTTTCCAATGAATTGTGGTCTATGTTCTGTTAACAGTTCCTTATAATAGTCCTTTCATTCTTTGTCCTGTATATTTCCCAATTTAATTTTTCATTTTGAGTTTTGTTTCAATCCTCTCAGTACTTTTCATGACTCCGAAGTTCTTGTACCTCCTAGGTATGTTTCAATATTTAAGCAGGTTCTTTCCCATTCTTCATTCATTTGTTGTGTTATTTGTTTTTTTACTTCTCTATCTTATTCTCTCTCTAAACTCCATCGTTGTTTGTAGTTGTAGTTTGTACATTTTCTGTATAGTTGTTTTTTTTTTCTTCAATTATTCTTATTGTTGGTTCATTTATTGCATAATAGTGCTGTTTATTTGATATACGTTCTTTTTCTCCAAGGGCTTCGAATGCTGCTTGTGTTATACTCGTATATTTATTCGATGCTGCCGTATCTAAATTCTATTAATTTTTGCTGTCAGTCATTTATGGTGCGTTCCACATTCTGCTCCTCTTCTGACTCGCACATCTTTGATCTTTATTGTGGCATCTTGTTTAATTATTATGTAGTCTATTATCGATTGCAGCTTTCGTGTTTCTTGCGTCCATGTGTATTTATAAATATTTTTATGTCTGAATAATCCGTTGGTGATTTTTTGGTTGTTTAATTCGCATAATTCAATCAGACGTTCTCCGTTATCGTTTTGTTCATCCTCTCCAAGAAGACGATTACTTCTAGATTAGACTACCCATTGGTTTTATGTCTGTTAACTATTGTGCTCGTTTGTTAATTAACTTCTTTTTTATCATCACCAATTTATTTTTGCTGATATTTTTCATTTTATATTTACAAGATCCACTTATATGTCACTCTTATGAGTCATATTTGAATTTGTTTTATTAGGAAAAATACCTTTGCTAAGATCTTCAATGCTGAATATTTTTGTGTAAACATTTCAGTTATTTTTGCTGTTACCTGTCTTATGTTACCTGTTCTTACCTGTTATTACTTGTCTCATTTTCTCTCCATTGTAATGTTGTAACATTGTAATCCCGGGCCTATTTTCCAGTCATGGCACATACTTTGCGTTTGGTAGCTTGGTTTCAAAGCGTATAGTATGTAGTTCTATTTAATGATCGGATTCCAACAAAAAAAAAAATAATAATATACATGTACAAAAATTAATAAAAATATTTTATTAAAACAAACAATAATACTTAAACAAATATACCTAGATTGATTAGTCATATTGCTGTTTTTCTCACTATTGCTGCAAACTCGTCAATTAGTTTGTCATAACTAACACAGTTATTTAATAACTTTTTCTATATAAAGTAATAATAACCTACGTAATTTATGTTGGCCTAATGTAATCTTAATTTTTTTTATTCTGGCTATTACTGAGAATGATCTTTTACTGCTTGCATTGCTTATTGCAAAGGTAAAATAAATTATCAGAATTGTGTTTAAATTTGGGTAATTGCAATAATAGTATTTTCCTTAATTAATGACTACATGGATACAGGCTAAATAATATTTTCTTTACTTATAAAAGTCTTAAATTGTAATACTTAATTTTTTTAGTTCTGCTATATTTAAATCTTTTTAATACAACAAAAATATTAACTGTAAAATGTTCTTTGTCACTAAATCGTATTTTGTGTTCTGGAATTTCAACATGAAATAGTTTTCGTATTTTCTGCCGTTTTTTATCATTAGTATATGCAATATCTTTAACGTTTTCTGCTTCAAATCATGAATGTGTTGCTTGTGTGAGTCCATTTCAAATAGGTAAAGAAATAATAAATAAGACTTACTCACAATCAATTTAATTTAATTATCAGACGACCGGTTTCGCTTTCTACAATATGCAAAGCATCCTCAGGTCTCGATACAAAGTTAAACAAATGCTGAAATAATAAAAACCCATATTAGGGTGTTGTCTAATAACGATAAACAAAGTAGATGTTGTAAGTTACAATAATTATGCCAATATTACATGTCTGTGGTTTTATTTAAATGAGTAAGTTGAATAAAAAGTATAAAAGTTTAAACAGACAAGGTAAGGCCCACAAATTGTTATAAAATAGTCTCTTCGATTGTAATAAATTAATAAATGAGCAAATAAATAAAATAAACATTACTTACATGCCGGTACTCTATTAATTGATG